CTTGTGAGTCACTAATTGACACTGAGAGCTCATTGGTTGAGAGAGGCTGGTCGTCTCTTCTTCCACTTTTCTGTGTGAAAAATCTGATCTAAAGATGCAACAGATCAAGTAAGCCAAGACTGTGCAAACTAGTGCTAGAATCAAACTCTTGATAGCAAGTAAGGAGAATGTATTCAATAGTTACATGTGTCATAGGTACCCCAGCTTTAAACCTATTCAGACTAGCCTTATCACATAACTGCTGGAGCTTTAGCTTTTGGGTTAGCAGGCTGATAGTAATTGTAAGTGTGGTTTTACAGGAATTGTCATAATTTGAATGTTTGTCTTCCTGTTGTTCGACTCTTTCTTCTGGCTCCAGCTCCTCAGATCCAACCATTGTTTTGAGCACCGAAAAGTAAATACGTCTTATTGTAATTTGTTGAGTTCGCAGCAAAACCTGTATGTAATGAGTTTTCCACCACAGCCATGAAGATTAGAGTGTCAGCGAGGAGAGCAAGCAGGCCACAGTCTCAGCTCAGGACACTCACAGGAGGGAGAGCTGGCCAAGGGGAGGTGATTCTGCAGTGTGGTGAGTTTGAGTCAGAAAACGAGCCTATATGTATCTCCTCAGAACCTGCTTCAGCTGTGGAGTGAGAGGAGACGTGCCCTTTGCTTGGGGAGAGAGTGAGAAAAACTCTATCCACAGCTGCACCTCAGCACCACTCATTTGAGCAGCATTTCCGACTGCAAAAACAAGTCAGCAGAAGCTATTTCAAATATGTGTAGTATGCACGAGAATTCCTACCTCTCAGACAGTGAAAAAAAGTTTATCGATAAAAAGAGATATGTCATGAGTTGTTTTAAGGGTATGTGTGGATTCTGGAGTAAATGAAGTTGAGCCTTTATACTAATGTCATGTTTGCAGGGCCACATAAGCAGAGTGGACTCTGTAAAGACATCACTGACCCGGACAGTAGGGGTTTTACAGTGGCTCAGTATTGTCAGCACCAGAGTACACAGAGTATTGTCAGCACAGAGTATGTATAAATGTCGGCCTTGATTGCATTTTTGTAACATACGTGTATATCTTAAAAAAGATCTTCCTGCATCAAAAGCACACAGTAGTGATTAGTGATTATATTCTTATCTAATTAAAGAACCACCAGGATTTCAACTGAGTGATATCATGGAGCTAATCAAAATGCTCTCAAAATCTAGCCGATACCAATATTGGTATTGGAGCATCCTTACATGCGTCTGAGTTGCACTCGCAGGGTCCTGCTGTTCAAGCGTGCATTAGCCTCATTAGCATGTAGCCTGGATGTAGATGGATGGCCTCCCTGTTGGGCTCAGTCAGCGAGTGATTGATCTGTAGAGTACTGTTTCCCTCACAGAGCTGTGACGGACTGCAGCCTATGTGTATGGGGCTGGAGGGTGGCTCTGTCCTCAGTGGGAAGCCTTTGGCCTCTTTATTTATGTCTTCTTCTTTACATATTCATTCTGATGCAGTGAAACAAAGCCACAGTGCCCTTTCACCCTCGAAGCTCCAGGCTGTACTGTAGTGAGAAGATTCATTATGAATCTCTGTTAGTTTCATCACATACAGGAGCTCACATCGATGGCAGTGGGATTTCTCTCATTCTGTGCATTGTGATTGTCAGTGTAGTGTGTCTGTTGGCCTCAGGAGTCCACTATATTCACAAGCCGCACCTGCGGAGGAGCACTTGTACTCTTGGTAAATGGAAGTGATTGGCGGCGGGAGGGAGAGGTTTGATTGATAAGGCCCCCCTGCTATTCGTGTGACAGCTCCTGTCAGAGAGGCTGCTTGTGCCACATCACATGTATCATTTGGAGGCTCAAGCCCAAACTGCAAACTGTAAGGACAGAACAGGCCCCATTCCCAAAACACATTGTTTAAACATGTGCTGTTGTTTCGCCATATGGAGGATCAAACAGAAAGCAGAGGCCAAAACAACAAATAAATAAATGAATTACATTTTGTGTTGTTAAAATGTGTAGAAAATACCTGGCTGTGCAATCATAATGTTACGGCTGAGTTGACCAATGCCATCCATTATTTGCAGCCCATGGAGTCTGTGAAGTATGAGGCTCCCTCACTGTCTTATCATTTTTGGATGTGTGTTGGATATGAGTGGAATAACATATCAATCCCTTTTGCGTGTCATCTGAAAAAAAAAAAAATCAGGAAATATCCAATTACATTTCACGCTTCCTTTTTATTATTGTGGATGCTTTTTTCCTAATGTTTAATCCATCCAAAATTTGTTTGCAGCAGACCCTGGTGTTAGTGTAAAAGAGGAGGATTATGTAATCCCTCCTTAAATCCTGGCGCCTTGTCTTTTTCAAAAGCATGTGCTGAAACCATACAACAGTGCATTTGAAGAACACTTGAAGAACAAGTCATTTCAAACAAACTACTGAATACAATCAGTGAAGTTAGTTAGCATTCACCATTAGACATCAGGCCGAGATAGGACAAGAGTCAGCAATATGCATCTTTGGTGCTTTGTGTGTTTCTGTTCTGTACATATCTGTTTTTTTTCTCACTTTGTTTTGGGATATTTAAAACCACAAAGCAGAGTTTCCAACTACATGTGATCTGTCAAAGGGACAAGGTGGCTTGTCATTTGATGTTTTATTGTATTGTATTAAAACACAAGGCAAACAAACCAAACCTGTAAAACCAAAAAATTTGTACAAATTTGAAACGTAGGGATAATCATGAGACCATATCACAAATATTAATAATATCATGTCGAGTGAAATTGAGGTCAGTTTAAGTTTCTTAGCAGAGTCAACAATGCAAATTAAAACAACATCAAACAACAGGACAGTGCACAATATGTTTCAAAAAAGGCTCGACTTTTATATTCGAGATGTCAGTGGACTCAACTTAGCCTTCGGTCACTTTTATTCAAATTGAATCGTAGGCTACAATTTTCACCTTAAGCACAGCAGCTGCTTTTCAATCACATTACAAATAATGTTAACATAATCACAATCTCTTTGGTGCCTTCAAACACATTTTAACCCAAATATCAACATTGTCTGAGTAGAAACTTGTTTCACATTTTCATCTAGACCTTTCCAGATTTTAGCTGCTGACCTGCCATTGCTGACTCCCTATTTTTAGTCCTGATTCTGGGACCAATCCCTGTGCTCTTCAAATTCCCAGGAGGGCAGTCCCTGTGCTCCTCAGAGTAGGTTCATATTGAAGTAACATGTCACAGATGTACTTTAGTGAGAGGTCATAGATGCTTTAATCTATGTCTTGCTTTTCAAAATGAGTTTTTGAATCCACGGACGAAATGAGCATGTCCTTCATTGACAAGCAACAAGCTCTCCCAAATGTTACCTGCGGTAAATAATTGTTTAAAATGTTAAGACTTTGTTTACATCAGTACATTTACATTATCCGTCAGAGCCTGCTTGTCAAAAATAAATATGCCCAAAAATATAGATTAGATCAGAATCTGGTTGTTTTTATTTCCATTTTCTGTGAACAGAAACTCACAATAATTAACTAATGTAAACAGTAATAAATGAAATGGCATCTACCATCTGTCTCCATTATATTAATTTATTATCAATCACCAATATGAAGTGTCTGGTAAAATGTCTGGTTGTAAAACAGAAGCGCTGAATGTCAGAAGTCTGGAATAAAAGGGGCAGGGTACTGCCTCCTGTGGAGATGTACTGATGGATGTCGCATTCCCAGGGCTTAGGGAAAGGCTCGCATGGCAAACAGTGCAGTGCACCTAGGGCATAAGCAGATGATGCGATACAAGACGAGGGGAAGGGGAGACAAAAGACATGCTTATTACTCAGTTAACTAGGACTTTATCATACTTTTTCTGAGACTTTACTTGTGGCTAATTTTGAAAACTGGAATTATTGGACTGTTATTTTATTGGTATATATGCACAAAAGATGCATTCACTCATACATATGGATGCATTATATGTCATGGTATATTCTTATTATCTCATCCTGAGGTGATTAATTACACGCATCTACAATTGGAAAGACTCTGTTGTAGTAGGGCGCCCACTTGTGGCCACATTTAGTCAGAAAATGATACATCTTTATAGATGGATCATTTCTAATCACATTTGTAACTTTCATTAAGTAGACATAACTCTAGTGTCATGTAGACCTCCCCTGACATCCATCTACTGTTTTATGTTAAACTCCTGTGAACAATGTGTTGTTGACTAGTTGTGAGCCATTTGAAATGAATTAATCACTTTAACACTATTAAAGCATGCTAAAAGGACAATACATGAATTGAGTGTGTCTTACTTATGTATTCTTTTACTAACTATAATCATTTTAATTAGACTTTTTTTAATTGTAGAAATCTATTTTCAGTCAGATATGTTTTTTTCAATAAAATCTGCTACAAAGTCTAATTTATTTCTTGTCAATTATAGTTTATTTCTATGGGGGTAAAATGTGAACTATGTCGTCTCCACTATTAATGGGAAACATGTCAATAATGGGGCGCGCACTAACCAGAAGCACGTTTATGGGACGTCCCGGTCCCCGGACCTTGCTGCAGATACATGTGTGGGAACAGAGGTCTGTGCCGCTGACTGATGCAGTGACTGCGGCCTTCGCGCGCACGGCTCACCCCGCACCACAGGTAAAGACCATTTGAGAGGTCAGGGGAGGGCGGGGATGGTGGGGGTGTCTGCTTTTGTTCTACAGAAAAAGGGGCCTGTTCTTAGTGCGGTGACCTGCCATTTTAACCGGGGGTGTGAGTCTGACGCGGGATAGATGTGAGAGGACAGAGACGAGTGCGCACCGGAGCTGACAACAGGGGACACGCTCTGGACTGGGGCTTGGAGCAAACAACAGGGGACACGCTCTGGACTGGGACTTGGAGCAGACAACAGGGGATAGGGTGATGGACTGCCTGAAGTGGAACACGTCCTGATCGGGCTTTTGGATTTGAGTGAAGTTTAAATAGTGTCTAAACGACTCAGAAGGAGCGCATGATGATGGTCTCTGCATATAACATTCGGCATCTGTAAGTGACGCTCCAGTTGTTTTAAGGATGTCCAGTTACGCACCTGACTTACGCTGCTCTTGTTGTTGCAGATTGGTGCATTTCCTGACATTCTGCTATTACGCACAGGTAGGTTATATGTTGGGTTCTTAATTATGTGCATGTTACAGACATTTGTTTCAGTTTTATTTTAGTGTATTTAACTGCTCTAATACTGCGTCCCATTGTATTAAATATACAAAACAAGCTGTAAACGTGAAAGCTTAAATCAAATTAACCTACATTTTTAATAGTAAAATTGGTGTAAATAAACTAAACGGTAAAATCCTCCAGCCAATTACTTATTATGGCTATTTGCCTAATTCAGTCACTGCCTATTTAAAAGTGTAAATTTCCAAACAGCCCTTTGTCTTTTGTTGATTAGATAATTAAAAAGCACAAATGTTTTTTACCCTATTTCCTGATCTTTTGTCTAAAGATGGCACTTAAGTCTTGAGGTCAATAGTAGACAACTGGACGCAAGTTTCAAAAGCTGAAGGCTTTGTTAGAGCAGATACTCATGCGGTGCCGTCTAATTTCTGACAGGTAACCAATCAGTCCCCGCCTAATTTCACGCAGCACGTGAGCGAGCAGAGCCGGGTGACGGACCGCGTGAGCCGCAGACTCATTCGCATGTACCAGCTCTACAGCCGCACCAGCGGCAAGCACGTGCAGGTCCTGCCCAACAAGAAGATCAACGCGATGGCCGAGGACGGGGACGTGCACGGTAAGGCCGCCAAGCACGTCACATAGAGCCGAAGGCAGAGGGGCAGCACTGGGCACATCTGCTGACGTAGGCCCTGATTAAATATGCTCACTTTAGCACGATAGTGTATTATCATTCATTATCAGTAAATAAACAAACAAAAAACCCACTAATGATATTTATATATTACATTAATTCGCCACGTTGAATGACGCACATTTGGCCTGTGTAACATCCTGTGAAGCTATTGTAATAAATGCTGTATTCTTTGATCTAATTTACCTCCCTCTGTTTAGCAAAACTCATAGTGGAGACTGACACATTTGGCAGCAGAGTTCGAATCAAAGGAGCAGAAACGGGCTTCTACATCTGCATGAACAAGAAGGGAAAACTTATTGGAAAGGTATGTAAGTCCTGTTTGTGATTTTTTTTTTTTAAATGTTTTAATTATCAGTGTGTATAATTCCAAAGAAGTGTATTCTTCTGGGTAAAAGTGTACCCATATTCAGACAGTGTTTACCTTTGTGCTATAGGTCTATGCACACAGATAATTGAAATAACTCTGCAACTACCATGTTTGATTTTAGCTAACGTCAGTGTGCAGTAAGGTTGTATGATGAAAGAATGTGGGGCCGGTGAGAGCTAAACCCCACCCAGTGACTCCCTGCCTGGGCTACCATCTGCCCGGAGCCTGGTCTGGCCTGGTCCTGTGTGTCACCACTATTTTTATCCACAAAGCTTTTCCACACAGTGGCCTGCTGCTGTGTGCACTCTTGCACTCATATCTAATAATGCCTCACTTGAGCAGAGTGTAGATCAATGCTTAAGTGATGTAATTATTGTTGCCTATATAGTTATTGCCTCACCACATGGTCTGGATTAATGCTCCCAATTTTGGTTTATGGGACTACAGGGACATTTGTTTTATTGTCTTGGTTTTGTAAATGTACTTTACAAATTCTGATATTGGTGGTATAAATTTGATGATTTACAACTGCTTTAAAAACACACAATTATTTTTAGTAACAAAAGCCCTAAACTTGCTTTGAAATGTGTTTGGTGGAGTTGGCAGTCTGTAATGACTGCAGCACATGCTCAGAGCTGTGCAGTGGGGTGGCCCACACAGGCTGCTGCTCTCATCATTTGTGACCTTCTTCACAGAAAAATGGCCAGGGTCGCGACTGCATCTTCACTGAGATAGTTCTGGAGAACAACTATACTGCCCTGAGGAATGCACGCTACGAAAGCTGGTATATGGCCTTCACTCGGAGGGGTCGACCCCGCAAAGGCTCTCGGACAAGGCAACACCAACGAGAAGTCCACTTCATGAAGAGACTCCCCAAAGGCCATCAACACCCGCAGCCTGTTCACCACCGACCATTTGACTTCATCCACTACCCCTTCAACACCAGGACTAAACGCACAAGATACTCTTCCGAGCGCTGACACCAAAGACTACATGTCCACTCTTCCCACAGGGCTTTCTACTGAGTTTTTACACTGTTTTTTTACTGATGTATTGTTGAAGGTGTAAGAAAAAGGTGCACTAAAGAATACTATTTTTGTATTTTGGACGGACTGTTGCTCTGAGACCAAAGACAGACATGTGTGCACTGTTCCAGGTATATCTATGTTGCTGCGTGTGGCAGTGGACTCAAAAGGTTCTGTGCATATTCATCACGTTCTTTTATCGGGCGCTTGGTCTCAGTTTGTCCTCAGAGTCAGAGGGGCACACTGCAGCCTTTACTTGTGTATAAAGAAGTCACATTAGTGGCCATTGACCACTAATATTAATATTTTTTAAGATCTCTGAAAGTGTAGTGGATCTGATGTAGTGCACTCAAGTATCCTTTATAGCAATAGGCCCTGAAATCCACAAGGGTTATTCTGTGAATGTGCGGAGGCTGGTTTTGTCAATTCAGTTGAAGATTCACAAAGTTCATTCTTTCATGTTTCAATGTTTGAATGAGGACTGCATTTACTGATGAAGAAGTGAAGCCGATTATGGCGGCAGGCTGGTGATGAACAATTTTGGCAGCTAAACAACTTTTATCCCCATTGTGTGTCACTGTTTGTATGTTGTTTTTATACATAAATATATATTTTTATTTGAAAAGTTGTAAGATTATGTATGAAATATTTATTTATAATGTGTACGATAGAAAGGTGATATTAAAGTCTTGTTTGATATAACGTTGCCTTTACTTCGTAATTACACAAGCATGAAAATAAATGCAGTATTCCTGTCCATAACCTGTGAATTCACCCACAATCTCTGCTTCAGCCCAACTCTTCCAGACAACGTAAATGTGTTTTTCAAACCTGAAGCAGCTGTCTATATCAATCAAGATCTTTTGATGTATCTTTGGTTTCTGTCAACGTTTAAAATGGTTGTTGTTGATGTTATTATTAATGATAGACTGAAAACGTCTCTCTAGATAAGGAGCTTTGGGGCCCCCTAGTGGCTTTATGTAGCTACATGTAACTATAATCTAACTTTGGAGGCCTTTGGATATTCTGTGTGATAAGAACGGAGGCAGAAATGATGATGTAACTTGCATTTTTAAAAGGTCTAGATTTGTTGCTCTCCCATTCATAACCTTTGTCTTTCTCTCCCTCATCTTGTTGATCTGTGCTGCACAAAGGAAAACGAAAAACTGACTGAACAGGATTGCTGTCCCCTCTGTTACATCTCTGTGTACTATCGATCAAGCAGGATCATGGCTTGTGGTAAATGTAGTGTCGACCTAGAATCTGAATAAAGAAATGATGGTAAACATTCCATCCTTTTTGTGTATTTATTTATGCATTATTTTTATTATCAAAATATATAAATGGTCCCTATCTGATGACATAGATGTACATAGAGGAGGACAGGATTAGCACCAAACCACTGTTACGGAAACAGTCAGAGACAATGTAGCCTCAAATACATGTTTTATTTCATTCATAAATACAATATTTCTCCCTTTCCTACTGGTTTTCTGTATTCTGTGATAGATTTTGAAACTAAAAGGTCTAAAGCGTTGTAACCCCAAGAAGATTTTCAGTGATTAAAATATGTTGGACGTATTGCTTGTTTTTTTCCCAAGTGGTTCCAATTGTGAAATTAGTGTAGGCCTATGCATGTGTCAGACAGAATCTCATTATTGCTACAAAGATCAAAAGAGCATCAGGCTTTACACAGTCTCTTTGTCAGGCCTTTTTTCCTTTTAACCAACCATAAATGATTTTTTTGGACATTCTTATGTTAGGGACATGGCCCTTTGGGAGTGCATGCTCTGAACAAGTGAGTGGTCTTCAATGAAGAACGAAGAAAAACTATCTGCATATTGGCATTGTGTGTGCTCTGCTCAACTGATCAAAGAGCGGTGGGGGTCCCAGAGCAGCAGGCCAGGGTCAGTCCAGAAGGGACTAGTGCAGACTGATGCTGCTCAAGCGAACGTGTAAGTATCTCATCCAGTGTCACAAGGTCAATCAACTTCTTGTTGTCATGCTTTTTTGTTGTTGAAAATTATAGTCAGAGGTAACCAGTTTATTACAGCCCACTCTGCTAATTATTAGAGACACATTTCACATTTCATTATTCACAAATACAATTTTGGTGGATGATTATATGAGGATTCAAAGATATGTTAACAATAATATGGAAACATTACACATTTTATGAAACAATTATGATACATCAATAATATCAAGAATAGTTTAGTGAATAACAATAATAAAACTAGAGAAAAGAGAAATATTCTACTATGATGATAACATTCTGAACAGTTTGAATTCTAATTTGTGGGAATTCTAAACAGTTCTAAACAATTATTCTCACGAGTTTGTGAATTCACTAATATTGCAATAGGATAATATGCCAGAACTATCTTTTGTACGATGAAGGGGGATTTTAAGCATGGGGGCTTCTCGTGTGGACTGGGGCCCCTCTTTTCCAATCCACGCCCCTGTGTCTTTGTCGACGGTCTTCCTAATTCTTGTTGCAGATGCATCTCCCTCATCGTGATAATACTAAATCATGTCGGAGCAACAGTAACATCTACTTATTTGCCAAAAAAATACAAATAAAAAAGAAAACTATAATAAATCCTTTCCTTGTGATGTACGTCATTACGCTCGCTACGTCGCCAGTCGTAGTAGCGCAATGGCTGCCCGTGCTTCTCTTCCTGCAGTGGTCTCATAGAACCATAATAACATAGGTCTGTACATAAGTGCTTCGTACTAATGAACAGTTAGCTACAATGAGCGGCCTCCGAGAGCACCTGTCGTGGTTGTGGAAAGCGGCCGCGGGTCGCCATGCTCCTGCCACAGCTGCCAGAGGACGTACTCTACCACATCCTGGCTTATTTAGACCACATAACCCTCAGCCGCTTCTCGCAAGTTTGTAAAGCTGTCTACACTTTTGTTAACCGTGACAATGTGTGGAAAAGTGTTGCCAAAGATTTCCTTAACACTGGGATTCGCCGTGATGGATCAGATCTGTGAGTTTTGAATGCGCTGTCAACTTTTAGTTTCTTGACCTGTCCAGTCTGTTGTTTTGACTATTGTTGCATACATTCTTTTGAACAGAACACATGCATAGTGGCTTAGAATCAATTTTCATATTGTGTTTTGCTTTTTAGATACCCCAATATTCCACTCAAGGATAGAGTTAGGACTGCTCAGAACTGGTCCAATGGGTTCTGCAACAGGGGCGTCCTTATCAGATGGAGAAAGAAGTAAGTGGTCTCCTGAATTGGAATCATTTAATAGGTTCACATGCTTCCTCTGTGAAGACCATTAAACCGGTGTTAGCTTTCAAAATTACCTTTATCCCCACCGCTGTCAGACTGTACAGTAAGTACTTAAAGCCACTAATGCACTAGGACTGAAAAAACCTGCACTGCTATTGCCACTCTTTCTTTTATTGTCACTTTTTTATTGTACATAATTATATCCTGTAGACTATATTTTTTACCTTTCAACATGTTGCACACTTCTGAGTGATTCTATCTATGCCAAATATGACATTTGCATTTCTTTAGTGTGAGATCAATAAAGTATATCTTATCTTATTACAATAAATTGAATTATTTAATAAAATACATCTAACTTGTTCCTCGCTGTCCAAGCAGTTTGTTCTGTCACTAGCGTTCGCATGCATGTGTTTATGGGCCTCACTCACTTCTTTAGATCAGGTTTTTCAGACAGAAATGTGAAAAAGAGAGTATCACCTTCACTTGGCCAATCAGCATTCAGTAAGTATGAAACAACTCACAGGGCTCTTTGTATTTATCTAGAGTCCCTGTGGTGTTCACGTAGTGTAATAAAGATGTTTTCTAATGAGATGAAGGCAGTATGTTGCTGTCTGACTTGTAAAATGTAACTTTTATGAGACTCTTTTCATGCTGGGACAAACCAAATGTATTATTTATGAAACAGGAAAGTGAGGGACCCCAGAAACAAAATCTAGTATTTGTTGTGACTGGTACGATCTTAAAAATACAGACACGCTAATATTCAATGTTTCCTAAAGATTTGGAATAAAGACATTTCTTGATTATTTAAATTAAAGTATATAGCAAAGGATGACACTTTGCAAAGTAAGAACATTGTTTGTACATTATGTTAGACATATTACACTATATCGGCTTTTCTGAGCTGTAAACTCTAGAACAGAATTGTTCCTTCATCAAAAACAGACCTGGAGTTGTTTTTAGATCGATCCACACTAATGTATTGGGCACACACATGTAAAACTGCCCCTTTTATATGAAAGCTCTGGTATTATTCTAGTAACAATGTGACTTAATGAGCAGTTTCCTGCCAACAAATAAGTAGTAATTTTAAAATTTAAGAACAAAAAATAAACTTCTACCTCTGCTGGCGGCATAGAATGTTGGAAAACATTTTTTCTCCTTTACACAAATAATGAAATGAAATTACTAAATCATAATAAATATTTTTTTTGAAAATGCCTTTTGTGACATAAGCAATATGTCAGCCATAAACATTACGAACACATGAATATAGTTGAAGTGTATGTGGCAAACTGCATTTGACTGATTATACTACACTAAATGCGTAGTGTATATCTATCCCACAAAACAACCTTTAAGCAAGTTATTTATTTATTTTGACCTGCACAGTACAGTTCATGTGTCCTCTCACTTTTGTTTAACTTTGGTGGTAGAAGGAGGAGTGTCGTTGGATACAGTGCATGACATTCTGACAAAAGTTAACCTTGAGCTACAAGAACAATTCTCCTGAGAATGTGTTTGTCATTCTGCTTGATAATGAGTTAATATATTTTCTTTTTATTTTAGTATTTCTGGCATGACTAAAGTAATTAAGTAATATGTTCATAATTAAATGCAGAAGTCTGTTATTTGCTGTTATTCATCCATCCATCCATTTTCTACCCTTTAATCCATTTCTGGGTCAGGGGGGTGGCAGTCAGAGATGCCACCCAAGTCTCATAGCACCAGCCCCTCACTGACCCTCTGCAGGTGGTGAGTCCACAGGAGAACGGCTGCTCTCTGAGTGTGAGCATAGCCTTTATCTTTCAGTGGGGGCTTTGGGCAAAGTGGGGTTAAGTGTCTTGCCCAAGGACACAACGACAGCAGTCATCAGTGGGAGTTGGTGGAGAAGGTGCAGAGGTGGGAAATGAACCCACGACCTTCTGGCCTTAAGGCCAATGCTCTACCAACTGAGCTACTGTCGCTGTTATTCATAATTGATCTAATATTATATTGTAGCATAATTACTCTCTTTCTGCTTTTCAGTTTGTTGCCTTGGCTGCAGATGGATGGAGATGTCCTGTTCTTGTCCCAGGCTGCAGAGATCAGAGCTCACAGTGTGCGGCAAAACGGCAAGAGGATTCTGAGCCAGCCGTTTCAGAGCTACTCTGGTCACCATGGCGACGTGTGCCGCTTTGTCCTCAACAACTCGTATTTGATCAGCAGCGGAAGGTTAATCTCATTTTATAATAACCATAGAACTACTTTACTACAACTCTTACTTTGCAATGTAGATTACAGCTGTCAGGTCATCTTATGAACAAAACCAAATACTCCAGATTTGAATCTTTTAGTGGGTTTTCTATAACCTCAATATTTTCTCAAATATTGACACTAGGTTGGATTTTAATTTTTTTATATTCATATTTTTTTCCAAGCGGAACAAATATTTAAAAAATCCACATAGAAATTGGGTAGAATTAGCAGGAATAGATTCTCACTCTTTAGTCACAAATAATCGTGTTCAACTAAAGTTTAACACAATTATTCATTTTTCTTCTGGTGGTATTTTCGAGGCCGTTGTTCTTAAAACGGCAGATTATCACTTTGTCTTTATCTAATCTGTTCGCAGCTACACTGTACGTGCCATGGCAGCCCAGTACATTTGCTTTCTCACACCGCCATTTTTCTATTATGTATTATGTAGTTTTTGATGGTACTTACTGAGTTGTCAATCAAAATGATCTTTATTTTATAATTGTTCGCTGGTATAGCAGGCAAGCTGAGTTACAAATACATAAACTATAGAGGCCAAAACAACTAGAACAAAACCATTTGGATTTCAGAGGTCACATAATCTTGAGTTTGTACAGTTAACTCAGTGACACGTGAGGGAAAACACAGCTCAGATGGAGTCTGAGGTTAAAAAGTAAAGTATATCATGAAAGCTCAACATCAGAAGGTTGTGTTTAGTCTCACTTTTATGTACATTATATACAGTATACACATTGTTGAGCTGAGAAGAGTGTACTCCAGAAAGTTGAACATTTTGCCCTGCCCAATGTTGAAGCAAGGCCTGGTGCCAGTAATTTGGAGTCTGAGACGGAGGGAAAATAGATCCACTCCACTTTTTCTATTTCTCACACAAAACATTTGGGAAATCTTCTGATAATTTTCACATCACTTGTTACAGTCACTGTCCTGCTATTGATGTTTATATGTTTGTCGTAATGAAAAACTTTGTATTAATTTGAATTGCTTCTATAGGGTAGACATGGCTGCTTCCTGTGAAAGAGCCGCTCTTAATAAAACACTAATGTTTGAACTTGGAAAAAAACTATATTCAATCTCTTAAATAAAAGCGGATGCAGTGAGTCCATGTGTTTCAGGTCTATGAACAGGACAATACAAATCTTTATGATTATGATAGCATTAGGTGAGTTTGTATTTCTACACATTCGTTTATAGTAACAATCCTTTTGTTTTTAGTGATGGGACAATTGTAGTCCACAGCAGGAGAAGTGGCTCTCAGACCAAGCTGCCAGGGCATAGCCAGGAAATCAACTGTCTGGATTCCAGAGGTGAACTCATTATCAGTGGATCCAGAGATACAACAGTCAAGGTCAGTGAAGATCGAGCACAGAAACCATGCTTGGTATTATGTATGTTTTTGCATATATATCTATAAAGATAGATAATATATTATTATTTATACTCATTATTTGTTCTTGCAAGGATAAAGCAAATGTTTGAAAATACAGTATTACGGCCTTAAGTGGCTACTTCAGCTTTATCAGCTACAAATATAGATTAAAAGTAATATTTGTATTGTAAAAAAATACTAAATTAATCAACCCATTTCTCACTAGATAAATTGAGGTACAAAATAATGGATAGTTCCAGACACTGAACCTGAATCAATGCCTCTGTGTTGTAGATTTGGACATTGACGTCTGGGTCTTCTATAGATACCATTTCCATGTTTGACAGAGTCTGGTCTATTGCCATTGATCCCTCTCTCAGGTAAGGTTTTTCACTCTATAAGGGTTTTGGATTGGCCCTTCTTTTTATAAGGCTGATGCTTATGACACAAGTCTGTGGAGTTGCCTTTTCTTTGCAATGTCACCAATCAGTGTCTGATTACAGCCAAGTTCAAAGTTGAATATGCTTTGCTTGGTTATTTTGAATAAGCAGGTAAACATACAAAGGAACATGGGACTCATTTATCACTCAATTGTCGATTCAAAGTGTTCAATTAATTATTATTTTATAATGAAAGAAAGGAGAAGTATTGCTCTTCCTGGCTTCCAGACAGGCGGGAGAAGAAGAGAGGGGGCTAAAGTCCCACAACTCTATAAATAGAAATAGAAATAGAAACCAACATTATTTGATCTATCAAATGTATTGCAAATGTACTTAAAAATTCTGCTCTATTTTTTTCTTGATTGTGGGCCTAATTAGTCTTCATAGGTTTGTTTAAGAGACTGTAGAAATTGACTTTTTGTTCTTGCTTTTCTGTAAGTGGTCCCCGTCTTGACCACCGGACATTATTGTGTGCCCTGTGCCACTATAGTGACACTGCTGTTATCAGTGAGTGCTGTTTCATGTGGAATCATTAAAGGTTATCGGGGAGATTGTTTTGGCTGTTTTTAAAGGCCAAGGCTGCGGACGAGAGCCGCCCACTCACTGCACCTGAAGACGAATCCTGCTTTTTCCATCACCTTTTTCCATCACAATGTTTTGTAAAGATGAAAGGGAAAATGTAGTCTTTAATCAATAATTGCTCCATTATAAATGCACACAAGAGATGGAAGGCCAGTGGATTGAGATCATGTACCGTTCACCAAACTTAGGCAGGATGTTGACAGTAGTTGGAGACCTGGAGTTGGCTGATGCAGGGACTGGAAGGAGAGGAAGAACAAAAGATCTCATAATAATTTCATAGTTACATTTCACAAGCTTATCCATTTCAAAATGGCGTACTTGACCTACACGGTTATGAATATTATTACAGACTCATTTTGTCACTACATTTGAGAAGTTTGTTATTGACCATTATTTTGCATGAACTGATTTGTATTATCTTTGCCTGTACCTCACCACATCATTAGTTTTTATTTTTGACCCTTGATGTGTTAATTGTCTGAAAATGTTGCAAAATCATTAGATTGAGACACTGCCTCATGGTCTATACAAATCTGATTTAATGTCGAAAGTATTTGCTTTAATGGTCTTATAAAATAGTGACTTGTACTGTGAAGGACGGGGGCCCGAACCCACTGAAGGGAGAAGCCCCCCAGAGAAAGCTGGGGGTGGGTATGGAATTGTTTTGTCTAGAACTCCTCAAGCACAACTACAAAGACATTGCTGGGGCCAAAAGCGCTTTTCAACATTTCTAAAAGAAGAAAATGATTGTTGGATAAACCATCCCAAATTTGCTTTTTTCTCACAACCTCCAGGGAGGGTGACCTTTGGCCCTCGTATCAAAGTACAGGGTGACTGCATAGGAGCCACCCAGCGTTCAGGCCGCACCGCCGCCACTGGCCACACTCCACTTTCCCCCCCGTTCTCTTCACCACTCCTTAATAGAAAGACTAGAGCCATGTCCGAACCATCCCCGCTGCTCTGGAGTCAAGAATTCACTTAGTTAAAAAAGAAAGAATGGAACAAGGCTTCGACAATGAAGCAATAAGGGGCAGAATTTGCATTCCCACACACTAAATACAGACCAGGGCCCACAGAGCCAGAGGAGCTCCACCGCAGGAGGCAGGAATAATCACAGGTCTCTCCGAACCCCTCATTACACGCGCACACCTTACATTCCAGACAAACGGACACAGAACCCCAGAACCAGCAGCCGCTCACACTTGTGACAGGTGCTTCATGCTCAAAGAGATTTACAAATACTTTCCATTTGTCAGAATTGTAAGCCAAGTATTTTTTTATGAAACTTTCACATTACAACACTTACTTAATAATAGAATGAGTTGTGATTTTAACTCTGTTCCTTTTTAGTATTCCCTGCAGAATTATTTAAGAGATTCAATTTAAAGCCTCAGTCCACACAATGTACTTTTATCTTATTTGTTAAAAATAACATTTTAAATCAAAAGTGGTCTGTATCATATTTTCCTTCACTTCACTCCATGAAATCCATGATTTCGAGCAGGTTTAGCATGAAGGCTGGTTTCTTTGGCGTTATGATAAAAAAACATATTAGATATAGATGACCGGTAACTTTATTGATCCACAAGGGACATTACTGAACATTTGTACCATTCTTAAATAAATGGCCAGTCCACATTTTCCACTTTCTAAACCAGTGGTACCCAAAGTCTGGGGCACGGCCTTTCAACCAAAAGATCCCAGAGGCCCTTTAATATCACATCACATTGTCATGATTTTTATTTTACAATGAGACACATAAACATACATGATTTAAGCTGCACAGGGCTGTAATTGTGTAATCATTACAAACACATATTTGTAGATTTGCTTTAAATCTTAATTACTGGTTGTAGACAACCTTTGTGGGCCCCCCTGCAGTGCCTCTGTGGCCCCCGGGGGGCCCTGGACCCCATTTTGAGAAGCACCTTTCTAAGCAAATGCAGGGAGTTTGAACCAGGATTAAAAAAAGGTAATCCCTTGAGATTGTGTCTCAATCATTGTGGAATAAGGGATTTTTAAATATTTGTATTTTGCTTGTTTTATGAACCACTGAACTTTTCACAAACTCAAATCATGCTGCTTTACAAACATGAAAGACAAGTGTGTGTAATCAATATGCAATTGCTGAAGCAAAGTATGTCTGGTTTCAAATGACTGCTCAACATAAGGAGGAGCTACAAGAATGTACGGTGACCCTGCACACCACTCGCACAAACTGCACCAAAAGGGCTCTGGGGGTGGCAATGGGAAAACAGGGGCCACCAGTGTGTACCCATGCAGAACTGTGTGAATGTATGACGGGAATCTGCATGTTTGTGTCCATTCAGAGGTTTACCAATGAAGGTTTCCTCTGAAAAGGATCATGTGGTGTCTTTGAAGCGCTTGCATATGGGGAACGCATAACGCTAATTTTGCAATTTATAGACACAAAGGTCAGAGATTTGCAACAAATTAACCATAATATTGTATATATTGTATATTGTAAAATGGAAATGGCTTGTAATGTTTTTGCAATCTCAAAACAATAAGCAATCGGCATTTCTAGGCATCAAAGTGAGTACATATGGTCTTCACTCCCTATCCAAATGTTTGTGTGACCCTGGCACATCAGTTCTCACATATGCATGCACTTGATGAGGTTACTCAATTGAGAGCAAAGGTGAGCAGGCTGCTAATGATGAATCCTGACCTAGCTCCTATAATCTCACTATAGGCCAGTTTTCAGAGGAAGAAGGTGACATCAGCGGGCATCCCCTTTTATTGTGGGACTTGTGTCCCGCAAACTGCCCCTGCTAGTGTCTGGCTCACTGATGAGTGAATAATGTGAGTAATGGAGAGTAATAAGGTGCAGATATAGAGTGTGAGCGTAACCCTATTGTATCTTGTCTGCGAGGTCAGAGGTGACCTGCAGAGTATACTCCGCCTAGGCCTGGCTGACCCATTTGGGCCATAAATGAGTTTACCCAACACTAATTACTATGGGCTTGCCAATGGACCACACTGCTGAACAGGTCTGACAGCTGTCTTGGTGCGATAGTCCCATAGAAGTTTCCCCCTGATTTAGACCAATGTCCTGGTGACACCCACACCGTCCTTACATTATTGAGCTTAAAACAATATTATAGCCCAAATCATTTAACTGGGAGTTCTCATGGATATGCGAGTTCTGTGTTTTAATGTTTTTTTTTGTGTAAATTGTTCTTCAATTGGGCTACCTGTATAATTGTTAGTAATTCAAAGTTTGAGATTTTTTTAGAAAAAAAGCCTATAGGCCACCTCAAATATTTTAAGGTTAACAAGTATGCAGTTGTTTGAACACAATTATCTCTTAACTAGAATCCACATATGCTTTTCATTTAGATAAAAATCCTAAATTGTGTTTTGTAGAGGATGTAGACTGAGCATCTGAGTGTGTTCGAGAGATATAGATATAGACACTTTGGTGGCACCGTACTTCATGCGAGTAGAAGCAACTCTTCGAGAACAACCAGGGAATAGATATGAAATGTGTTTTGAAATGCATACAGTTACAGTATACTATAGTTTCGTATTCGTATGATAGTAGTCCCAATACAACCTGCGTTAGGAGAATTGGGGTTGCCTATTTTCCCAGGACCCAAAAGTGGGGCCTAATGTTTGTTTTCTCGATGTGTTTAGAAGTGGTCCTCCCACACCCATTATCCCTGCTGGTGCACACTGTCCACGCTCTGAAGCCCCAGGCTAGTGCTTGACACCCCACCCTTCTCACCCATCCCCACAGCACCCCTTCTCTTCCAGACCCCCAGCTGTCTATGGGAATGGCTGTCGGTCATCACACACACCTTCACTTAAAGAACTGCCGTCACTACGGTCAATGGAGGGACTGACTTTATATGCACTGATCACACTACCTCAAGTCATAGAGCTCCTCAAAGACTCCCGCTGCCTTTATGTGGGCTGGGTGTATGGTGTTTTTTTTTTGAGAAAATAGAAGGATTCTCCTCCCCCATAAAGAATATGGACAGTCTTATTTTAGGTTCATGTGACAATTTTGTTTTAACTATTGTGCACTAACCTATATTCCTTTTACTCTTCATAAAAAGTGTGTACAATTACAGTACTTTTTAATGTATTTTTGTCAAAAGGCATTTTCATATTGCAGCCCTGTGTCCCCGTGTTTGAATACTGTGTCGACCCCGGACGGCGATGGGAAAGCTCATTGTGTTGTTTGAACTCGTGTTGCTTTTCACCATGGGGAACACAGGAGCGTGTCAAAATAAAGGGGTCAAAATTAAATGTTGAACTTTTAAAATTGGTCTACAAAGGCCACAGTGTACCCAGGACCAGAGGGAATGCTATCACTATGGACTAGAGCAAGTTTTTCATCCATGTGTGGAAATATAAACATTTTCATGCAGTATTTTTTACAAGGACACTTTGAAGAAAATGACAATCGTCTGGGATCATGTTGACAAACAGAAGAGATATTTTATTATTGATGGTAGACGAGCACGAACTAAGTTACAGAATGCAAGTGATAGTATACAGCATGGAGGAATGGAGACCTCCAATCAGCATTTGCCAACGTGCCAGTAGCTTGGCCTTGAGGTAACCAAAACATTTAGTGGAAAAGTTCTGCCTTGTGCGTATTGATAGAATGATGAGTTTAACTTTAACCATAGTTGCTTCAAAGTGTCATGAAATCTCCAAAGAAATTGGAGTGCAAAATCCTAAACACTGACGGTTAAAGCTTCACTCTCGTTATACAGCTTTTTACGGAGTCATTTTGCAAAATATTATCCCTTGTGTACCCATGAAAATAACAAGATATAAAAGTTTGGTTTTACTGTCTAAATTACTCCTCAGCAAAAAGACTACTTCTCAAGGCGATTTAAAGGTGCATTGTTTGGAAATGTTTTTGCCTTTCAGTTTGTAAGAAAGTGGTGAACCGGGGTTTTTGTGTTTTTGCTCAGTGGGAATGAGCCACAGTGTCATTTTGTCTTTGTACAGCTCCTTTGCCGTGGGTACTGCATGTTGTCGAACGACTTCCCCTCTTCACATCTGGACCATAGAAAGGTGAGGAATCTTGAACCTATCTTTGCAGAATGAACACAGTATTTATTTATTTATTTATCCATCTATCTATATCCTTCTATCATGGGCAGATGTGACCCACAGTCTCCCAGAACCAAGCAGCTTCATGTCACAAAGTTCAGGTCGGGTCTGGCTTAGAGCAAAGACTGTGTCCCAAACAGAGCCAGTCACAGTCCACAGGTACAGTGTTAAGTATTCGGCCCCCTTGAACCTTTTAACATTTCGCCACATTTCAGACTTCAGACATAAAGACATCAAAAAAAAAAAATTTTTGTCATGAATCACAAGTGGGACACAATCGTGAAGTGGAACGAAATTTATTGGATAATTTAAACTTTTTTAACAAATAAAAAACTTAAAAGTGGGGCGTGCAATATTATTCGGCCCCTTTACTTTCAGTGCACCAAACTCACTCCAGAAGTTCAGTGAGGATCTTTGAATGATCCAATGTTGTCCTAAATGACTGATGATGATAAATAGAATGCACCTGTGTGTAATCAAGTCTCCGTATAAATGCACCTGCTCTTTGATAGTCTCAGGGTTCTGTTTAAAGCGCAGAGAGAACCATGAAGACAAAGGAACACACCAGGCAGGTCCGAGATACTGTTGTGGAGAAGTTTAAAGCCGGATTTGGATACAAAAAGATTTCCAAAGCTTTAAACATCTCAAGGAGCACTGTGCAAGCAATTATATTGAAATGGAAGGAGTATCAGACCACTGCAAATCTACCAAGACCCGGCCGTCCCTCCAAACTTTCATCTCAAACAAGGAGAAGACTGATCAGAGATGCAGCCAAGAGGCCCATGATCACTCTGGATGAACTGCCAACGACTGACAACAATCAGTCGTGCACTGCACAAATCTGGCCTTTATGGAAGAGTGGCAAGAAGAAAGCCATTTCTCAAAGATATCCACAAAAGGTCTTGTTTAAAGTTTGCCACAAGCCACCTGGGAGACACACCAAACATGTGGAAGAAGGTTCTCTGGTCAGATGAAACCAAAATCGAACTTTTTGGCCACAATGCAAAACGATATGTTTGGCGTAAAAGCAACACAGCTCATCACCCTGAACACACCATCCCCACTGTCAAACATGGTGGTGGCAGCATCATGGTTTGGGCCTGCTTTTCTTCAGCAGGGACAGGGAAGATGGCTAAAATTGATGGGAAGATGGATGGAGCCAAATACAGGACCATTCTGGAAGAAAACCTGTTGGAGTCTGCAAAAGACCTGAGACTGGGACGGAGATTTATCTTCCAACAGGACAATGATCCAAAACACAAAGCCAAATCTACAATGGAATGGTTCACAAATAGATGTATCCAGGTGTTAGAAAGGCCAAGTCAAAGTCCAGACCTGAATCCAATCGAGAATCTGTGGAAAGAGCTGAAGACTGCTGTTCACAAACGCTCTCCATCCAACCTCACTGAGCTCGAGCTGTTTTGCAAGGAAGAATGGGCAAGAATTCCAGTCTCTCGATGTGCAAAACTGATAGAGACATACCCCAAGCGACTTGCAGCTGTAGTTGCAGCAAAAGGTGGCGCTACAAAGTATTAGTGCAAGGGGGCCGAATAATATTGTACGCCCCACTTTTCAGTTTTTTATTTGTTAAAAATGTTTAAATTATCCAATAAATTTCGTTCCACTTCACGACTGTGTCCCACTTGTTGATTCTTGACAAAAAAATTAAATTTTATATCTTTATGTTTGAAGCCTGAAATGTGGCGAAATGTTGAAGGTTCAAGGGGGCCGAATACTTTCGCAAGGCACTGTAGATTTGGAAAGTCAGTCTTCGGTCTCTGCTCTATTATCACATACCTTTTAAACATTTTTATTATTGTAATTTGTGTCATTGCAATTTTGTACAAACAATTTTCCACTATGGTGGATGCTGGACAATTTTTTTTTTTTTTTTAAATTTAACTTTTATTTAACCAGAAAAAAACCCATTGAGATTACAAACCTCTTTTTCAAGGGAGTCCTGGCCAAGAGGCAGAAAAGTTACACATAAAAGCAGCAGACAGATGAACACAATAATGTTTTGGTAGAGATTACACCCTTCAATCCACATGTACCGTCTACAATCTCTAACAAGTGATGTGGTTGTAAAGGGGACTGTCAAGTTTGTATGCATGTTTTCATGACTGTTCTTAATTGCAAGTAAGAAGCAAAGGTGAGGGCAGTAACTTGGATGCAAATGTCTTAATGAATTAAGGCACCTGTCACCATGTCTCCAAGGTAATGTGTGCGTCTTTCATTCCATTGTTTGGATTGAGATTCAAGGCTGTTTACAACAATTATAAATATTATAATTATAATTTTACAGGAAAATAAGAATTTAATGTAATTGAATGACAATGAATGTAATTCTGTATAACGCCAGACTTGAATGCAATGCGACTCTGACCTAAAATGGACATGACATTTAAAATGGGTGTTTGCAAACAGTGCCTCGAGTCACTTCAACTGAGGTCAAACTAAGCAAAAAGGGGGCGCATTACAAAAGCACGGTGATGTATATAATTTAAGTTTGGAAGAGACAGTCGGTCTGCAGCCTTTGCATTGCGGATAATTTAAGTCGATGGCGTTAGCGTTTCCAGATGAATGTAGTGATCACATTGTGAAGCTTGTCCCAGCGACACAGCGATTGAAGCGGGATTATAACAACAAACCAAGAATATTATTATGTACTGTATGAAATGTAGTGGGAAAAGTAGGTGTGTAAACGACAACCACCTGCAATGACCAAACATAATATGGGGTCCACCTTTTAAAGAAAAAGAATCCTGAGAGGCTGTGACTAAGTATTTTCTTTTACTGGAAGCCACCTACTCGAGATTTGCCTTGGCTTCAGTTTTGATGTTAGAACAAGATTCTTAACATTCCTGCCTTGAAAGGCTCACCCATACTGCTCCACACTCTGTCCTACAAATTGCAGGAGCATTGTCTTATTGCAGTCAAATGTGTATGTGACATTTTAAAGGTGGGCATTGTTGTGGTGTGCCTGCCTCTTTGTTAGACAGAGCCACATTCCTGTTGCCCTCACAGGGGCTCTCTTAATTGGCTAGATGTGCAGAGGCCCACTCTTGGGCCCTCAGTTTGTTTTAGGACTCAAAACCTCAGCAGGAGCCTTTTATTTACCTGTCTGCGAGCTTTTGACAAGAAGACCTGTCAGTGCATCCCGGGCTCCATCCGTCACCCATCACAAAACAGTCACTGTGTTTCTTCTGCCTGGCTTCGGGCTAAGTGCCATTTTTGCCAATTTATTAATGGTAGGTGGTGTGTGTGGCCCCAAGCTGGTGTTTGTCCTGTCGAGCAGCCCAACAAGCTTATTCCAGAGTTAGTCCTGACTTGGGGTGTCGTGCAGCTAGCAACCCTTTTTAACTTTGAATGAGTCTGTGCCCCCCACTGCCCTCTGTCTGATCATATCCACAAATCACTCAGGTCTGTTCTAGACTCAGTGATGAGGGCATCTAATGAGACTAACCAGGCTGCACTCTGCGCGCTCTCACTGTTTACATGCATAGCTTAGCTGGGCTCCACTTATAGCTCTATTAGTGACAAACGGGGTCAGTGCCCTCCTCTAACATGCATGATCATACCTGCACAAAAACTTTTCTTTTCTCATGTCTTCATAAAGTGAATATTTTATAAAAAGATGCAATTTAGATCATGTCTGAAAAAAGCAAGAATGGAGCAAAGCATTGAAAATGGGTACTATGTACCCATTTTCAAGAAGAATACAAAAATGCGAAAAAAAATCCAAATGGGAGTAAACAATAATTTTAAACAATGAAATTGAAATGGCCCAGTCCATAGCTTAAAAAAACCCCTAAAACTTCCTATAATTGGAATTGACGTAATGCGTAGCCTCCATACTTTCCTAGGTTCATATTGACCGCCACACCGATTAAAAAACACCCTAAATAAAAAAATGTCTTGCTGAATTTGGATGATTTCTCCTAACTTGACCAGCCCTGAGTCATTTACACCCTTTTAGACCCTAATTTAGTATTTTTCTTCTATTTGTAATCATCTGTGGCAGGTCATTTTGACCCGAGGGTATCTCAAGGGTTACATTCTGTCTCTGTCTGTTTCTAATGTTCATTTTTGAAATCTTTCAAGCCATCCTAGATCAGGGAACCGTGCAGGAAGGTTCAAAAGAGTGACTCTGGAAGAAGTTGTTGGTCAGGTGGACGTTGTGAACTTTGGTTGTCCAGTTGAATAATCCAGGCATTATTGCACATATGAGGGGTGACCCCTGCAACATGACCATATAATCAAGTGGAATATTTTTGTCGCCAGTAACGTAAGGAGCCGTCAGGACTGTCTCAGTAACATATCCTCTCATTAGAGAATAAAACTTGCACTCTGTGATCTGTGCATCTGTAATTAGTGGTGTAGTATTTACATAATGTTTCGCCTAGTGGTGTATAGTGTGATGACATTTTGAAATGGAACCAAAAGGGCCTGAACTGAAACAAAAAATCCCAAACCTGTATTGTCGGTAGACGCAGAAAATGAGATAAGTGAGATAGAGGTAGATAATTGCTGATCTGGCTCCTATTGGCTCCTGTGACTGAATCCTAATCATAAAACTACCATTTCTTATTTGACTTAATTATACCTAATTCTCTGCGAACGTACCGCAGGTTGAAGAGCATTAATCTACCTTCACTTCACTAGTGCACAGAAGGACATTGTTTTCAAGGTATTCCAACCCATTCCTACACGTTGACCAAAAATGACCAATGTTTTTGTTCATTCTTGATAGCTTGTGTGACGTGCTGGTTGTATGCATGTGTGTGGTGATATTACCTGGGGTGTCAATCACCACGCCACAGTTTGTGTTGATGCCGTTGTTTCCAGACAACGTGGTCCTCTACCGCACACAGACTGGACCTCATTGGACAGCCTTCATCATGAGAGCCTTGTGCTGATGAAGCTTTCACCCAATCAGGTGTCCTGTGGGGAGAGCTGCAGTGTAATAAGAAGACCCCCTGTGGTCCGGCTGGGGGATTACCAGCTCTGGCCCAGGGATTGAGCTGCAGGGTAAAGGGGTTGGGCACCAGTTTGAACACATGGCAGCACAGTCGCCAAGGCCAAAGAGCCTCTCTAAATGGTTGCTACGGGGCAGGTATCAAATGGTCTTGAGCTCTACACAGTCACGCTCATGAAGGGTATTAAATAGCAACAAAGAGACAGTTATTCTGCAATAATGTGCCCTGCTGACTGGATGTTATTCTCCAATAATCAAGAGACTAACTGGACAAAGCTGTGATCACAAGGCCATGGTCCTGCACAGGGCCAGACTATGAGTGACATGCCACATTAGCCCAAACCCTGCTTCACACAAGAGCACGCAGCTACCGCATTAGTAAAGGGAATGAAAGGATATGGAGCGTTCCGTTACTCACCCTCTTTCTTTATTCTCCTGGGAAAATGCATTGTATATATTTGATACTACAATATATTAGTGAAACAAGCATCAAGAATTTGCAAGAATGATTGTAGTGAGAAAATTTAAGTCATTTTATTATTTCATGACATAGAAAATCTGTATTTTCAGTGTTTGCACTCAGTCAATACTAGGGGTGTGACGCGATACTTTCTCCCGCGATTCGATTATCGATATGCATTTGCCAAGTATCAATATCGATTTTGAAAAAAATAAAAAATTTTAAAAATTTTTTATTTAATTTTTTTTTTACATTTAAAAAAAAAAAATTGGTATCAATACTTAATATATGGCTACATTACGCATCTCCATTCCATTTATCATGAAATAAAGTGTAGTTATAAATTGGCATATTGTATATTTCTGACCAATATATCGATAAACGTCATATCGGGATAAAATCGTTATCGTGAAATCGTTATCGTGATAATATCGTTATCGTGATAATATCGTTATCGTGAGCTTTGTATCGTATCGTATCGTGAGGTACCCTTAGGTTCCCACCCCTAGTCAATACTGTAGAATTAGTATTTCTTTTAAAAATAGACGAGTCACTTTGCACTTCTTTTGAAATTTCTTTTTATTTTTTTTATTGTTTATTTGGGTGGGACAGTACATGTTAATGAACACATCAATCTGGAAAAGCCCTGGGCTAATTTCCATCCGTTGTCCCACATTCGCACTCACAAACACACTCATTCATTCACCCTGAACTATTGCACATGTTTTTAGTGGTAGGGGAAACCGGAACACCTGGAGGAAACCTACGCAGACATGGGGAGAACATGCAAACTCCTTTCAGAAAGGTACTGATCCGACCAGGATTCGAACCCAGTACCTTGCTGAGAGGCGAGAGTGCTACCCACTCAGCCACCGTGCCGCCCGTGTTGATTAATAACAGGAAAACAATGTGATTAGATCATGTTCATATCATGTTTTCCCTAGCCTGGTCGTACCACACCATAGTACAAATGACATTTCGTACTAAGGTCTGGAGGTGCACCGTTTACAGATAGGAGGGGTTAACTCTTTTTTCAGATTGAAACGATTGGATCTGAGTTTACCGTGACGTATGTAATGCGCCCGAGTCTGTTGTTAGCATTTCGCATTTAGCATTTAGCCTAGCCATCTCCTTTGCTGCTAAAGGAGTCCGTGGGGAGTAGCGCCACAATTTCTTCTAGCGATTACATTTGCGAAATATTCCTCTTGCTCTGGCTTCAATTTCTTGATAGAAACAGACCGGATTACTTTACTATCGCATTTTTCGCCATTGCCAAAGTACAACCTTTCCGTTCGACGCAGACTCTTGATGTCACCCACAAATAAATACAACACTCTCCTTCCGCGCTCGCTGGTTGGTCGGTCGAATTTCAACCGATTGCACAAGTTGACAGCCAAAAAATGGTCAGGGGTTTCTCAACTGATTTAGACTAATTTTGGTGTTCTGAGTCCGAATATCACATGCATTTTGCTCTATCAGGTCAACTTTTTGAGATACAGCCATAGTGTTACGGATTATGTACGTCTACGTTATTATGAACTCTGCTTATCAAATTTGAGGAGTAAATAAAAACGGAATGACTTTGGATACGTTGACTTTAATTTCTTGAGGAAAACGGAAAAAACGTCAAGGGTTTCTCAGCTGATGATCCGCAGAAATTTGTTTTTTACGCAAAATCGATGAAAAAAATATATATTTCTGTAGCAAAAATCCTGACCTGATTGAGCAAAACCAAGGTCATTTTCGGACTCAGAGCATCAAAATTAGTCTAATTCAGCTGGAAAACCCTGGACTATCTTCAAAAAATATTTTTTTGTTACCCAGTGTTGTATTTGCTAACCCAGGGATCAGACCCAGACGTTACATGCAGTGAAATGATGATTGAGCGGAGTGGCTAAGGCCAGGCTATGTTTTCCCCTGACTGACTTTCAGTTCATGTTCTGGCTCCTCCATGCCTCCTCCATTTATCTTTCTTTGCAGTGTATTTGTGATGGACCTGGTGTATGCCGTTGAAATGCTGTAGAGCAGTGGTTCTCAAACTTTTCACACCAAGTACCCCCTCAGAAAATACTTGCCTCTCCAAGTACCACCACACAGTAGCGTAGTAAGCCGAAGTATTCATCAATAACAAGGCAGAGGTTTCATTCCTAAAGAAGTATATTTAATGTAATATTTTACACAGTTTCAACAGTAAGACTTAAATATAGGAAACAATTTTTTTTTAAATGTTTCATTCATTGCGAACTGCAAAGCCTCACTGTGAGTGATATTCTGGAGTGGGATCTTTGTCCACAGAAGGTTTGGACTCTGGTGCACTTTAGTTTCTAAGGCTTGCTCTGCTGCCCTCTTACATCTGTCGTTTACTCACAGAGACATGTTCATGTGGTTTGGATCAAATGATCGTTCGTTGCTCTCTGTTCCTTTTGCACAGAACTGGGAAAAAAAAACTGCTCCTTCTACATGGAACGTGTTGCAAAAAGACTAGAAATGATCTGATCTTATTTCCTTGAATGCTTTTAGATCCAGACTGAGACATCTTCAGTGAAATGTAACTGTTTTTATAATCCGTAATTTTATGAAATTGTGTGTTACTGTTGTATAATCTGTATGTGACTATTTTATCATCTGTATGTGACATTGTATCATCTGTAATTTTATGTAATTTTTGTACACGAAAAAGAGGTTCTCATTGACTGCCAGCCATTTTTTGATGACTTCACTGATTTTTAAGACTCACAGAATATTGTGTGCTATGAAAAATATGAAACCAGAGTCTGAAAGACAGGACTGTCTACTTTCAGCAGCAAAAAGAAGTGTGTTCTTAGTTTGTTTCGTTCTCCTGTGATCTCCAGTCGAAAAGAGGAGAGTGTGACAAAAAGCACCAGTCTTAGACAAAAAAATTAGAAAATGAGGTTTTTGTGAAAACAGACGAACCTGCAGAAAAGTGATTGTAAAACTATTTAGTTTGACTTTAGCATCTCCTCAAACATGTCCAGGATCTTACATGTTAGAAAACAGCAACACGTTTTGAGAAAGTGTTTTTAATGTAAAATAATAAGTTTTATGGCACACACACATCCACAAAGTGTTGCTCCAAAATTTCAAAATGTACTCATCCAAAAAATGTCAAAATGTACATATTGAAAGTAGAGCCCATGACAAACTATGCCAGATAGAATGGCCAGTATTCATCCATTAGGTGGCACTATATTTATGTCAATAAGAGTAAATCAAAGAATAACAAAATTACAATGATAAACACTATACATGACAATAAATCAAAGTGAATACTTATAATTATAGTATAAGTGCAACAGAATACTGCTGTGTGTCTTTGTGTGTTTGGGCGTGCATGTATGTGCGTTTATGCACACATTTGTGTGTTTTTGTGTGGTTACATCTACAGAGCGTCTGTTTAGTCCGGCGTGCGCTGTGACCATATCTGGACTTTGCTGCTGGCTCCTGGTGTGGACTCAGTGATAATTTTAGCAATAGTCCACTTTTCTGTGGCTTTTTTGAGGTGCTCCACTGGTCTACTGTCCTGACCCTCCACATGGTCTGCTGCTAGGACCCTCCACATGGTCTCTGTCAGCTCTGGAGACACATTTACTGCTCAAACTGCCTCCAAATGTAGCCTGACCCTGACTATATTACTCCATGTCTGCTTCACCTCTGTCTCTCCTGCTCAGAGTGCTCAGAGTGATCTTTGACCAAACCAGGGAGTTCTGTTGCCACCTGCTGGCTTAATAAAATACTGTCTACAGCCAAACCCCAGACTGTATGATACAGGGGACACAGACTGACAGGAAAAGATTGAAAAACAATGTTGTCCTCAAATGACATCCATGGCTGTCAATGAGTTAATCTCAATGGGACTTTCCTGGTAAAATAAAAAAAAAAAAAACAAATTTCACAGATTTTTTTTTTTTTTTCACAGATTCTTTGGCGTACCCCTAGAGGGCGCCCGCGTACCACTAGGGGTACGCGTACCCCAGTTTGAGAAACCCTGCTGTAGAGGATAAATAACATTGTGTCCAACTTTGTGTTTCAGGTTGGAGTGTGTGTGTACCCTGGGCTCAGATTTTCGACATGGGGCGGGAGTTCTAGATATCGTTTTTGAGTCTCCCTTCCAACTCCTCACGTGTGGCTATGATACCTTTATCCGCCTGTGGGACCTCCGTCTCAGCACACAGTAGGCTTCTTATTTTTGCCTTGAATTTTTTTTCTCATTTCAAATCTATCGATGTGTGATACAAAAACACAACAGGCAAATCTAGCAATTCAATTCAAAGCATTGCAATGGTACAGTTGTGAAGATGTGTAATCAAATCATAATTTTGAGTACATAATTTCAAGTAGTTAATTAATCACCAATGATTCCACAAATGATCAATATTCATAAACTCTGGCTTAGTACCAGTGTGGACAAACACATGGATAATGGCGGCACCTGTAGTAAGAATAATGAGAGCGTTATTTCAGTATGTGGTAATACAGAGTTCGAGGCGATGCTATCTAAATGCTGAGGCATATAGATAGGATAAGATAGATGGCAGTATTAGTAGAAATATATGCTTTTGTAAGCACTTTCTTAGTCATCAGTGCTTTAAGCAATGTAGCTAGTGCAGGCATGGGCACACCTCTCCGTATTTCCTATGTTTCTTCTCAGGCTTAATGTTTTACACATAAATATATTATTTTTCTTTATATATATCGGCAGAGCAAGGAGTGAGACTCTAGAGCTCTGCAGGGGATTTTTTAGAGGGATTTTATAGTCTTTATGTACATAAATTGGTGAGGGCTCAGGGGCCCTCATCTGGTGCAAACATTTGCTGTTAGGGGCCTCCACTGTTACTGTTTATGTTTAATAACAAGTGGTGTTGCGTATGGGATTGGAGCAGACCACACCACCTGCACTAATTTCATTGCACTTTGTCACTTTGTATGATGACAAATGCGGGTGGCTCTCTTGCTAAGCGTAATTTAAATTGATTCATATACTGCAGGCTTTTAGGTATGTAGATAATTACAGAACTAGTATACAACCATCCTTGTAGGGAAAACAGTAAAAGCGCACTTTCTCAGCCCTCTGATGGACCAGTGAAGTAAAGCAAATTGGATGTGATTAGCAGATGTCTCTGGGGGTTGACTCGGTGCAGGTTAGTATGGGGGTCCCTCTTAAGATATTAATAATTGATCTGATCTAAATTAAAAAGAAGAGGGTCGGAAGGCACAAAATCAGACACCAGTCTAAGGTATTGGTTTTAAACCCCCAACATATCATTATTTAACAGATAATAAACTCATTGAACAATTGAATATATTTTATATTATTTTTCTATATGGATGTTTTTATGCCACTGAAAAAAAGTTGAAAAGCGTGCTCTCTTTCTGTTAGTGGGCTTGCATCTCCATGACCTGACCTGGCATGGCTTATGGTTTTTATGGCTCAATCTACCACTGTTTAGCATAGTTTCTAGATAGAATGGAGTTTTAACTGTTTTGATAAAACGTTCTTTCTCTCCCAATTGGTAGTTCGGCAACTTCATTATCATTTAGTTTTTCTCTATTTATATTGACTGTTTGGTTCAGTCACTCACTATAGGTATGTGTCAATATTGTTCCTGCACTTGCTCAGGTCAAATATGTATTAATTAATATGCACTGTCCCCGAAATATAGATTCTGTAAATATGCCAGAATTGGACAATCTGAAGTCATTTCACATTAAGATTTGTACTTTTGAGCTTTGGTCCAGTTCACACAGTCTGACTCTTAAGATCCTCTTCTTATACATTTGCTGAAAACTCCAGATGACTGTTCAGCTTTTATCTGCTATTGATCACTTTTTAACACAAATTAGGGGATTACACAGATGTTGAAGCGATAGAATCAAACTTAATAAACCCTAAATTAGCATTTGGTGTGTGAGTAGGAATAATGTTCTTTTAAAGAAGATGAACATTTTCAAAATGTCAATATCTCTTTCTCTCTTTTTGACCATAAATGACATAGACGTGTGTGCAGTATCCAAGAAAATCTGCTTGCCTCCTGTTTGCCTTCAGTGCTTTTGTCATCTCTTATTGATGAAGCTGTGCTAAAGGCGAATCAATGACAATGTTTTTTTTTATACATTTAGATGAAATGTAACTAATTGTGTTTGTAGCAATAATAATATAATAATAATAATAATGATGATAATGATAATGATAATAATAATAATGATTATCAATTGAAATCAATGAATAACAATAAGTATAAAGACGATAACACTTTTAAACATCCATTGCTGACCTGGACACGTGTTTTGTTTGTTTGTTGTAAACAATTATTTAACAAAAGAATAATCATTATGATTTATAAAAATATTATTTATTCAAGTAACAGTATTACAGTATTACTGATTACATTAATCATAACAGATAATAATAATTAATGATTTTACTGATTGCCAAAACAGTGATAATGTATTGTATAAAGAAACATTCAAAGACACTTACTCCATACAAAGTGGTGGGCTCCCTGTAGCCACAGTAACCATGGACACACACTACTGATACTGGATACACACATCACACACAAGAACTGTGGCGCCTGTTTTTACACCCGTCTCTCATGTACGATAATCCAAATCCAGATGCAGCAGTTGCATAATTCTCTATCCTGTTGCTTTGGCAGGAAGTGTGTGATGGAGTGGGAGGACCCCCACGACAGCGCACTGTACTGCCTGCAAACTGATGGCAACCACATGATGGCGAGCGGCTCCTCGTACTACGGTGTGGTGCGTTTGTGGGATAAACGGCAAAGCCAGTGTTTACAGGCAAGTTCTGCACCCCCAGACCCTACAAAGATTGTGTATGGTTAATCTGCAAGTCACCTTTTGGCAAAAAGGAAGGCAGGATTTGGCTTCATTGGGTTCTAGCTTTCATTATTATTTGTGTGTATTGTACCTCAGCCCTGTCATGATCAGTGAGTGAGTGAATGAATGAGTGACGTGGTCCTTGTGTGCAGGTGTACGAGCTGAGCTCCCAGCGGCCCAGCAGCCCAGTCTACTGCCTACGCTTCAACAGCTCTCATCTGTTCGCTGCCCTGGCCACCAGCCTGCACTCCCTCGACTTCAGGCAGAGTCCTGGCTCCAGCTCATAACCCTCGAACAACAATTGGAAGAAGAACATAACAAGACGTGGACTGTGACCTGGGTTACTGATGTCCAAGAATTAAAATGCCAGTTATGTTACAGCTGTCATTTCCTAACGTGCTTTTTCCCCCCTAAACATTTTATAATGCTTTCCTTAGATTTTACATGGGCTTGTTTTTAAAAACTTTTATATAATAATCTGTCAAGTATTCAAGCTTTTGGCATCATGTTAACAACAAAACATGTTGTATTACGTGACTTGATCTGGCTCTAGAATGGAACCAGGACCAAACACATTCTTGTATTGCTATAAAATCTAAATATTCTGCCAAATGCAATCTATATAAATTCTTAGTTATGGATTACCTCTGATTGGTACGTTTCAGTCCTATGATGCTGCAGGGTCGGTAATACTAGTTTGGATTTGCAATGCGGGTTTTGACTTTATATTTATTTCTAACACATATTGAAAAAAATAATGATTTAAACATGACAAATGTCAATTGTGTTAAAGTAGTGGCGGATATTCACTCTGGCCCAAAGACCAGAACAAGAGGGTTTCTTTTTATGTTATGCCTCCCCCTACTGTTTGTACAAGGTATGCCACTCTAAATTGACATTCCAAGTTTTCAAATCTCAGTAACATAAAGGTATGTAGGAGGATTTCCCCAAATTTTAGGAAAGAACCACCCTCTCCACTTTTTGGATGAAAAACTCTGATCTTGTCTTAGGAGGACCAATAGTCTGATCCACCCGGAAGTAGAAAATCCTTCTATATACCTTTTTAAGATAGAAGAAAATGGTTAACAAATGTGATTGCGTTTTCTTCTTTTAATGTTTACTTTGTTTGGGGTTATTTCACCAATTGTAACCAATCACTATGATTTAGAGAAATGTTTCACCTGTCATCTACACTTGTATGGCAGAACAAGTAACAAAAGTATTCAAGTTTTCAGCCTAGACATGTTGACTCTCATCCAGAAGTCACTCTCAAATCTGAAAAGACATGATTCGAGAATTCTGTACTGAGCATTAGTTAGATCTGAAGCCAACTCCCTCATTCTAGTCCTTATAATCTCTGAGGCTCTTAATTTGACCATTACTTCTGATACCAGGCTATAGATAGTCTGGTAAAAGTCGTTTTTTTCTTTCCTTTATGACATAACTACAAAATACAAAGAAACTGTTGAGAAGTTGCTCCAGCTTTGATCTCAGAAGTGAAAAATGATGTTATACTGACACCTCAATGAAAGATGACACTGCCGAATGAGGGCATTTTGTCAATAAATGTACAAAACCTTGAAAAAACAGCTTGGTTGTTCTTGACTTGAAAGATCGATGATGGTGATAGCAGCAATTAAACACACACACAGAAGCCTGGAACAGTTTGGATGGGAGACGCCTGGTATTACTACTATTGTGTCCTTCGGCAAGACACGTATGAATACTGTGTGTGAAAGTTTGGTCATTGGAGGGGTTGATGAGGCAGTTAAGAAGCCTCACTTTCCTCCCCTCAGGGCAACTGTGGCTACATCAGCATAGTTTATGATCAATGTAATGTTTTTAAGGCTATTCAATTTAAAGCTTTGACAGGTTGTAAATCCCATTACATGTTGGAATTTGTATTTATGTTAATTGTAATTAGATACTGTAGGCCTGTGATGTCATGACTTAACCGTATTCACACCGACACAGACATGACAAACGACTCAATGTTTTGTTTCCGTGCATTTAACGCACGAGGACACAAGGGAGTGAGTGGCCTCTGCGCGTCAGTCGGTGGATACCTGTGCACAGTGGAGTTGGAGCCTAATCCTCTTGTCCCTGGGCTGGATTTGTCTATGTGGACCTCTGGGCCTGTGGCGTGGAGTGGGAGAAAGGCCAGATTAAGTGGATTAGTGTGTATCCTCCTGACTTGTCAAACTGGGGTGTAAGGACCCATTGACTTTCTGAGAAACCCTAAATAAGTGAAGGCAAAGAGGTGTCCAAAGAAGAAGCCATGAAAGGATTTGAACAAGCACAAATTCCTACACGAACAATGCATTTTCTTTGTTGCTGAATGTTTTGAACCTCTCTGACTCGAGCTGACCAGCCCCAATGCGACCCGCCAGTGGGAACACAGACCCTCACTCAAAAGACTTATTGGTTGAGAAACAGTTTTCTAGCTTCATTAGCAGCCAAACCCTCACCATGGAACTTCTAATGCTGTAAATGACTAAACTGAGGGCTACAAAGAGCCAACTTCACATAATTATGATTTATTTATACACTGTACCAACATGTAAAAATGTATATTGTTGCTCCATTTTTTCATAAGCTCAATTCACCTTTTTCCTATCATTTGTTTAAATCTGTTCTCTGATCCAAATACTTGATTTTCTATAAACATTGATCACAAACAGTGATCTGCTCCATACAAAAGTAACTAATATATTCATCATTTTGCATTGAAGTATTGAAACCAATGTAGAATGTTGCACAGTCTTTAATATTGTATACAACTAAATCACAACTTTATTGGCACTTTCCAAACCGTAAACAATAGTTGATTTTGTGCATTAGATAACAAACACAGACACAGTGATAGAAATGTTTCTATTGTTGATGTTCTGTCATTTGAGACAATCTAAACAACTCTTATGCTTACAGAATATAAAATAACATCAAAGAATCCCTTAGTACAAAAGACAGGTCCTATTGACAGCTCCACTTCCATCAGTCTGCCCCAATACTGTGCCAACAAAATCTGCTTACAAACATTCAGAAAGGAGAAAAATATATTGTTCACTTGTCGTACTGTGATGATGGCAACAGACATGTGACACAAAGCTTCTATGCAGTTTTATTTTATTACCACAATAAATAACAATTCAAAGCCTTTAATTATTTGATTAATGAGAGAATCTGTTTTATGTCTGAGAGCCCTTCAGAAGCAGGGCTTAAACATCATAACAAGTTTAAGTATAGTATAGCACTTTGGAACAGTTTGAAATGCTTCAGAATTGGATTTGCAGTCCTTTCATTGCAAATGTTCCTCCCATGTCTTCATTCTTCCAGTTTACTTCAGGGGTTCAGGCTTTTGTCTTCGTGTCTTTCCCAACCCGGTCGGAGCAGGGCATGCACATAGTACTTGGGTGGCTGGAGCACTACCCCAAACTTGCCTTCTAAACTGGGCAGAGGGTCTCCAGGCCGCGCAGTCAGGGTGAAACGCTGCAGGATGGTGGACAGAAACAGAAAGAGCTCCATCTTGGCCAGAGCCTCCCCCAGACACACCCTCTGGCCAACTCCGAAGGGCAGATAACTGGGAGAGGGAATGACGAGTCCACTGGCGTCACTGTTCAAGAAGCGAGCTGCGGGCACAACAAGCCGACATGAGAGGAGTTTCAGAATCTTATAGTGAGAAACTAAAGCTATTGCTATGAACTTATTTTTTACTTAATTTGAGATAAATAAGGTCTTGTCTTTACAACCATGCCTAAAGTTGTTGTTAAAAAGAATCAATGTATGAGGTAACTGCGAGGGCCCTTATATTTTCTGACCCACCACCCAACGTTACTTTTATAAAAATATATTATATATATATATATATATATATATATATATATATAATATATTTTTTTTTTTTACAGTTTATCAGTATTAACCATGGATCTAGTATATTAACATACCGGGCTCAAAGCTTTCTGGATTCGGCCATTCTTCCGGGTCATGATGGAGAGACCACAGGTTAATTACCACACGTGTGCCTTTCGTCACATTGAAGTCCCCGATACTGTGGCAGAAGAAACAAGATGTACAGATTCAGCGTTTTTACATGATAGATTATTCTTTTATTAGGCATCCATAACCAACTGTCTTATTTTTAAACAGAACAACTAATGCAGATATTTCTCCACAGAAATGTTAGTTTGTCTTACTTAAATTTGTGTTGCAGGTTGTTGATCCTGGGCTTAAATTGTTCATTGTTTATTAATGTGATGATAATGATTGGGACAGTACATGTTAATGAACAAATCACTCCGGATTGTAGCCTTGGGCTAATTTGCATCCATTGTCCCACGGTCGCACTCACAAACACACACTCACACACACTCACACACACTTCACCCTGAACTATTGTACATGTTTTTAGTGGTAGGGGGAACCATAGCGCCGGAGGAAACCTGCGCAGACACAGGCAGAACATGCAAACTCCACACAGAAAGGCCTGGAGGTGGAATCGAACCTAGGACCTTGCTTTGAAGCACCCCGCTTATGCCCAATTAATTATAATTATAATAGACCTTTATTTAAATTTGCCAATATGTATATATTTTGTGTGAAAGTGCTGGTACCTGGTGTCGCTGAGGGCTACATGTGGTATTAACAGAGGGGCCACGGGGCGGATGCGCAGCACCTCTCTGATGGTGGCCTCCAGGTACGGCAGGCTGCCCCGGTCCTTCAGCTGAGGGGCCCTCTCCAACCCCACTGTCCGGTCCAGCTCATCTTGTATCTGCTTCTGCAGCTGAACACAACCATTACTGCACATATACATGAGGACAAACAATCTGGTACTTTTTATGGCACCGTATAACACCACCAACCTGTGGCTGGTGGATGAGGTAAGCCACAGCCCACTTAAGCACTGTGGTAGTGGTCTCCACTCCAGCCCCAAAGATGTCCCCTACTGTCATGAGCACGTGGTCATCACTGAGGCCCCCAGGGCCCGCACTCAGCTCTGCCGTGTTGTTGTTTTCTGCACTCCGCTTCGCACGGAGCAGTGCATCCAGCAGGTCCCTCTGTACGTGATCGCTGTAGTCTGCCTGTGCCAAACATACACAAACACTGAGGCCTGAACTACACACAAGTGTGTTCAAACTCCACACTATCCATTCTGTGGCTCACCTTATGCTCATCGTATTTCTTCTGAAGGAGCTGGTCTCTTATAGACACACAGTGCTTGAGGCGTTGCAGGTCTTTGTTGGGAAATATCTGCAATTTAAAACAGGCATGGGGCAGCATGATCACA